GTATGCATAAAAATTTTATCACTCAAAAACTGGGCTTTGGTTTTCTTTAAAAATATTCTGTGTTTCTCAGCCTATTCCCAAGGATGATCTATTAATTTTCAATTTAAATAAAAGAGTTTAAGTAGTTTAAGTTTTAAATGGAGCAGAAATATACTCTTACAGGTGTCACTAACCAGAGCATATCAAATTTAAAGGACATCTCAGCTGGGCTGAGTGGCTCATGCCTGTAATCCTGTACAGGCATTATAGTGGCTCATGCCTGTAATCCTAGCTCTCTGGGAGGCCGAGGCACGTGGATTACCTGACTCATGGGTTTGAGACCAGCCTGAGCAAGAGTGAAACCCCATCTTTAAAAAATTACCCGCACATTGTGGTGGGTGCCTTGGGAGGCTGAGGCAAGAGGATCACTTGAGCCCAAGAGTTTGAGGTTGCTGTGAGGTATGACACCACAGCACCCTGCCAAGGGGGACAAAGTGAGACTCTGTCCCCCCCAAAAAAAAAAAAATTGAAGGACATCTGAATATTATTTATCTCAATTATAGCTATTATAACCCACCTAAATTCCCAGTTACCAACCTGAAAATTTCTCTAAAATACAGCCTCACTGTTAACCTGTTTCTTCCTTCCTTGTCATGGTGTCTTCCCTGAGCTACTGTTAACAGTCCTCACTACAAACTTATCATCCACCTTGTCATCAGAACTTTGTTTTAAAAAAGGGAAATATGTAGCAGGATTTCCCTAAAATGTATATACATTTTAAGAGATCCTGTTGGAAGTAAAATTGATCATTCCCCAAAAGTGTATGATGGATGTGTGTAGCATGTCAAAGTACACTTGACCAGTAACGGTACCTACAATTCAACTCCAAAAATTAATACATAGATAACATCTCTTAAAATGTGTATTAATTTTTAGCACTCTCTGTGTGTGTATATATATCCATAACATACATACTAAGTTTAAAATTAGTTATGAAAATGAAAATATAGCTTTCTTGAAATAATTCACACAACATAAAATTCATCCTTCTGAAATGTATAACTCAATGGTTTTTAGTATATTCTCAGAGTTGTGCACTCATCACTGATACCTAATCTTGGAATGTATTTATCACCCAAAAAGAAATGTTGTACTCATTAGCAATCACTACGCATTTTCCCTCCTCTTTAACCCATAACAGCTATTAATCTACTTTCTTTCTCTATGGATTTGCTTTATCTTGGATATGCTATATAAATGGAATCATACAGCATATGGTATTATGTTAGATTTATGTTATAGCACAAATTAGTACTTCATTCTTTTTTATGACAAAATAATATTCCATTGGGTAGATATATCACATTTTATCTACTTATTAGGTAATATACACCTGGATTATTTCCACTTTGGCTATTAGAAATAATGCTGTTAAAAACATTCATGTACAAGTTTTTGTAAGGACATACCCTTCGATTCTCATGGGTATATACTGAGGAGTAGAATTTCTGGGTCATATAGTAACTCTGTATTTTGAGGTATTCTGCCAGTTTTCGAAAAACCAACACAAATATGATTTTGTTAACTGATCTATAACTGTCTCAGAATATGGAATTAAACATCCAGAAAACGTCTCTTACCTGGAAGAAAAGTTTGCTTTAATGCTTCTAATAGGTTATAAAAGTCCTCTACATTAGAAAAAAATAACAGCAATTAACATACTTTTTAGATCTCTTCTAAATCACACATATCTCTGTTTTTATCCTCTAAAAACTGTTCACCTGTTATATATAGTTCTTCTAATAACAGTATTTTTTCCTTGACAATAAGGCATTATTTGAATTAAAAAGATAGCCTAAATTAGAATTTTTTGGTATTCACTAAAATTATTAGAAAAACTGCCTATCTCTTGGTACGTGTGTACTGGCATCTGGAGGAAAAAAGTTAAATCATACATTATAAACAGCAATATCATCATACTTGGTTTCTTTAAATTTGAAGATATATAAAGCTTACCTTCACTCCTGTACTTCCATTAGGCATCTTCTGCAATTCATAGGGAAGCCTGATCCTTTCAGTCTGCACAATGGGATCATCAAATGATCGCCCATGAAGCTTTTTGAAGCCATGAATTGTATTTCTTACATTCGTGACTATCTGTTGGCAGTAAACACTTGCGTTTATCAATTATTTAGTGAACGCAAAATAAAATGCTATTCTAAAAGTATTCTAAAGAGAACCACCAAGTTCTTTTTATCACATACATCCAAGTTCGGAATTACATGTAATTATTCATATTTCTGGTTTCCAACTCATTGTAAAATTACACAATGAGAATGTATATATCTTAACTATTGATCCCAATTCTCCTATTCTAGGAATGTAAGATTCAAAGTTAATGTTTTTTTTTTGTTTGTTTTTGTTTTTGAGACAGAGCCTCAAGCTGTCCCCCTGGGTAGAGTGCCGTGGCATTACAGCTCACAGCAACCTCCAACTCCTGGGCTCAAGCGAGTCTCCTGCCTCCGCCTCCCAAGTAGCTGGGACCACAGGCGCCCGCCACAACGCCTGGCTATTTTTTTGGTTGCAGCCGTCATTGTTGTTTGGCGGGTCTGGGCTGGGGATTCGAACCCGCCACCTTAGGTGTAGGTGGCTGGCGCCTTAGCCGGTTGAGCTATAGGCGCTGAGCCCAAAGTTAATGTTAACAAAAGAGAAAGAACAAAACTTTAAAACTTTTCAAATACAATGAAAATCTACCTATCATCTCCTTGATTTACCCTCACAGTTCTGCTTTGGCATCCCAAATTCAAAAAATACTCCGATAAGCATTTCCTTTGATCTCCTTTGTTGGTATTCAAAAATTACAGATTTTCAAGTATTTGGTATTTCTGGATTTGGGATGGTCAACCTGTTTAAGAATATCAGAATATCCAACCAGATACTTCTGGTCCCAAGCATTATAGATAAAGGATATTCAAGCTGTATCTTTGATTTCTCTTTTTTTCTTTTTAAAACTTCGGAGATTATAGGGGTACAAATGTTTGGTTATATAGACTGCTTTTTGTACTGATTAAGTCAAAAGTTATAAGTGTGACTAACATTCACATAGTATATGTTGTTCTTGTTAGGCAAGACTGCACCCATCTCGCCCTCCCACCTAATCTGTTGAGTTATACTTCCATCTGTGCAGCTGAATGCTAATCCATTAGTTCCAATACAACAGTTGAGTATGTGCTTTTCCATTCTTATGATACTTCACTTAGGAGAATAGAATGGTCTCTAGTTCCATCCAGATTGCTGCAAAAATTATTAATTCATATTTTATGGCTGAGTAGTACTCCATGGTATACATGTACCACATTTTATTAATCCACTCATAAAAACTGACAAGTAGTTGGGTTGATTTCACATCTGTGTGATTGTGAATTGTGCTGTAACAAAACATTTGAGTTCAAGGGTCTTCTTCATAAAATGACTTTTTTGCTTTGAATAAATACCCACTAGTGGGACTAATACATCAAATAGTAGGTCTTTGGGGAATTTCCATACTTTTTCCCATAGAGGTTGTACTAGTCCTACCAACAGTTTACAAGTGCTCCTTCCTCTCTACATCTCTATCAGCATCTATTGTTTTGGGAATTTGGAGGATTTCTTATTTTCTTCCACTTCTATTTCTGTCTTTTTATTTAAACTATGTTTTTTATTGTATAGCTTTTCTTTTCCTCTCAGTATCTAATTCTTTGTAAAATTTTTCCTATACTTATATGTTGCTTTCATTGCTGACAACTGCTCCTAGGGCAGCAAATTAAAATTCTTTCCCTTTAGCATGCTATATGCTAAGTGATAGTGTCTTAATTTGTAAATGGCTTGAATTTGGCAGAGTAATTTTTTTTTTTCTTTAACTAGAACATGTATTTCAAACTATGGAATATTATTAGGATCCAGTTGCTAACTTCCTGGTAATCTTTAAGCCAAAGAGACTTTGATCTTCAATTATGAGATGAAAACTACAGGTTAGTGAATTATCACTTTGGTCTCTTCAGGTCCCTAGGAGAAATGACTTTACAGATTGCTTTCTTTAGAGATTCTGAATATCTATGATACATTTCGAAGATATGCCATAATATAAAATATAAACTTAAGCATTTTTAATGTACAGTTGTGAAAGTAGAAAATAAAAACATTCATATATAGGGAATTTATAAAAGACAGCCTTTATAAAAATCAGAAGCAAAAATTCCTGGATAAATGAATCAATTATTCCTAAAAAGCTATGAGAAAAAAAATCCATTAAAATTATTTTATAAGGAAGAAAAAAAGACTGAGGTATATAAAATGTAAGAAATAACTGTTAAGAGCTTTTGGATTCAGGAAGGTAAACAGGGTCCAAGGAAAATCAACCTAAAGCACGGAATGTTAAAGTCAATGCTCTATGCATAATTGTTTCAGAAGCCTAGAAATAACAAGCACTTAAATAGATTCCATGTCAAGTCGCGGTAGTCACATTGAGTTACTCTGGAAATCAGTTTCTCTATTTGTTCCACCTTCTTTTATAAAGACATTGGTTATCTTGTCTTTTATAAAGACATTGGTTATTGAAGTGTATGTTCTAGATAAGATATGCCCCATAGAAAACTGACCGACCATACAGGGAAAAATTAATGTTGCCTGGTAGCATACCCTAACTAAGAAAGATTTTTAAAAAATAAAATCAAGACATAATTATACAACCCAAGCCAAATTGTATCTAATAAAATACAAAGATGTTAGGATGTGTCATATTTTCCTCCTCCTTTTTTTTATTCTTGCCTACTTAACATGGGAACTTAGTTAATAAGATTCAGTTAATTCTTCCTACAAGTTAAAATATTCACATCATCAATTTACCTGGCTCTTTGCTGCATTTCCAATGGCCCGAGTTCTTGATCCTAAAGATATACAGGCCCTAAACAAAGGAAAAAAAAAGTTTGTTTCCATGGCATTTTTATATAAATGTACTATTCTGCTTCTCATATAAAAATTAATTTAAAAGGGTTAGTATAACCATTTATTATTTTAAAAGGTTATAAAAATTGAAATTTTACATACTTGAAAAATTTCCCAAATTATACAATGGTGGTCAGAATAAATGTTAAAATTTAAAAAAAAAAAAGTCTTAGCTAGCAGTATAATGTTGGTCACCCAAATTTCTTTTCAAATTCTACTGGTCTATAACCTATTAAAAAAGAAATAACTGTACTGACTGGTGGATATTCAGAAAAGGCAAAGAGTTAAAATATCCTTTTAGTCAATTTAACAGGCTGCTTGGATCCACATCCTGGCTCTGTCACTTAATCTTGTCAAAATTACATGACTATTATTTGCCTCAGTCAATATTTCAATATCTGACTTAGGTGAGAATTAAGAGAGTAAATGATATACATAGTTAAATGCTTTGAACAATACCTAGCATACAAAAACACTGTAAGTAAATTATTGCTATTTTAATGAATGCATTTACATGTACTAGAAAAGCAAGCACAAAATAACATTTTCTTCATTTCACATTACGATTTCAGAAAATGTTTCCATGGTTTCAATTTTCTTTTTTTTTTTTTGAGATAAGAGACTTACTTGGTAACCCTGGGGGTGAGTGCTATGGTATCACCACTTACAGCAACCTCAAACCTTGCCTCAGTCTCCATAGTAGCTGGGACTACAGGTGCCCATCACAAAGCCTAGCTATTTTTAGAGACTAGGGTCTCTCTCTTGCTCAGGCTGGTCTTGAACTCCTAAACTCAAGCAATCTGCCCACCTCAGCCTCCCAGAGTGCTAGATTATAGGCATGAGCTACCGTGCCCAGCCTCCATGATTTCAATTTTAATTGTAGGAAACTATATTCAATCAACCTAACTATAGTAAACTATTTTCACTCAATAAATATTTATAGGCTGTGTACATATAAGCCACAATCCTTATACTTGGAGAATTTATACTCTATAGAAAAAAATTAGCAAATATATGGGATTACAAATGATACCATCAAAAGAAACAATATTTCTATATAACACAGCTGACTTGTGAATTAAGACTTAATTAAGGAGATAAAGCACTTAATATGGATTTGTGGTAAACAAATATAAGTCTATTCTCAATAGACAAAGTGATTTACTTAAAGACTAAGATCATGAAATTCCTCTGCTGTAAACCCTCCAATGGTGCCCTGTCTCACTAAGAGACAAGACAATAGAGTCTCTCATGGTCCAGCTCCTGGCTGCTCTACTCCGAAAGTTCAGTCCAGGCATGCTAGTCTTTCTGCTATTTCTAGACTCTGCTAAGTATTATTTCTGCCTCAGGGCCTTTGTATGTGCTGTTCCCTCTTTCTGAAGACTTCTAAATATACTCATTGGACTTATGCTCTTACTTCTTTCAGGTTTCTCCTAAACTGTCAGCTTATGAGACACCTATCCTGACCATCTCATATAAACAACATTTTTGTTCCTCCCAAACACACATTTCATACTGCTGCCTCTATTTTTTGCCATAGTATGTACCTGACAACGCACTTTCTTTTTTTCTTTTCTTTTGCAGTTTTGGCCAGGGCCAGGCTTGAACCCACTACCCCGGGTATATGGGGCTGGCACCCTACTCCTTGAGCCACAGGCGCTGCCCCTGACAATGCACTTTCTAACTGTATCTCCATACCAGCATGTGAACTTCAGGAGGAATATGCCCTAACCAACAAGGCAGCCATAAGCCACATGTGGACAGTAAGATTTAAATTAACAAAAATAAAAAATTCAGTTCCTCAGGACCAGTCATATTTCAGGTACTCAGCTCAATAGCCACATTATCTTATAGTTACTGGACATACAGAGAACAGAATATACATATAACAAAACAAAGTTTTACTGGATAGCACTAGTCCAAACCATACTTTGGTACATAATAAAAAGGTACTTACTGAATGAAAGGAATGATGGCTTTCAAGGATGTTTATTTGGAGATTAGGAAGAATACAATTTGGCCAGTGTCATTTGGAAGTCTGATAAGATACTCTCAAGGCCAGATTATAATTCTGAAATTTATTCAATAGGTAATGGGAATCCATTAGAGCTTTTTGAATAATGTAGACATACTGCATATTGATATAATACAAGCTGGAAAGGCAGCATTGGAAAGCAGTGATTTTCAAGGGCCAAAGAAGCCATGTTAGGGACCAATGGATCTTTAGGAGATGAAAACAGTTAAGAAGTTCATTTAGTCAATTTAACAGATGTTTGCTGAATAATTACCACATGGCCTGCCACTCTGTTAGTTGGTAGGAATACAATAGAGAAAGACAACAGATAAGATTTTGGCTCTCTTGAATTTTATGACACTATATACGCATAAAAATGAAAGTAAACTAGGGGCCACAACTGAGGAAGCACATAGTGCTATAAGAGTAGGTAACAGCAGGAACTAGACTAGGGTCAGGAAAGCCTTAAGTAGGAAGTGATGAGATTTGAAAAAAGAGTAAAATGATGAGATAAAAGTGGGAGAGAGTTTGTTGGAAGATCACTTTGACTACTGTTAAACAGATGAGAGCAAGAAGTTATCAGTAATCTATAATGTATCAGGATGGTGGCAGCTGAGATGGACGGAGAAATTAAGAAATATATAGAAGGTAAAACTCAAAAGAACTTAGGTGACTAGATTTTCACTATCTCATAAGGCAGCCACTAGCTATGGATAGTTAGCACATAAAATATGACTAGTCTAAATTAAGACGTGCCTACTATAAGCATAAAGTAAGCCCCAGATTTTGAACATGTAGTATTAAAAAAGCAAAATACCTCAATTTTCAAATACTGATTATATATTGAGATATTTTGGAAATATTGAGTTAAATATATTAAAATTAATCTCACCTCTTTTTTGCCTTTTTAATGTAGTCACTGAAATTATGTGGCTCACATATTTCATTGAATAGTGCTGGACTAGAAAGAAAAGGGAAGTGACAAGAATAATGTCTCGGTTTCTATTTTGCACAGGAGGATCAATGATGGTGCTTATTCAATGAGACACAGGTGCTGCCCCTGACAATGCACTTTCTAACTGTATCTCCATACCAGCATGTGAACTTCAGGAGGGTAAGGTCATGCCCGCTTCTTTAATATGCCCTAACCAACAAGGCAGCCATAAGCCACATGTGGACAGTAAGATTTA